CACTTACTCCAAACCATCTTCTTCAGATGAAAGGTAAACCAGTATTACCACCTGGATTATTTGATAAATCTGAATTATACAGCAAGAGGAGATGGAAACAGGTCCAGTATATGTCTGACTTATTCTGGAAAAGATGGACAAATGAATATTTGCCTTTGCTTCAAGATTGGCAGAAATGGAATAAGGAAAGGAGAAACTTTGTTTCTGGTGACATTGTTGTCATTGTGGACTCGTCTGCTCCGTCTGCGACTTGTTCGTTCTGTGCGAGTACAAACTAAAACCAGTGTACTTGAGAGACCTGTGACAAAACTTTGTCTGTTGTATGACAGCATGGAAATATAATGGACTGATGGTAAAGACTGTTAAATTTTACACCTACACAGAATTGATTAATACAATGTTTATAGTGTTGCTTTAATGGCTCTCTGTATGAACATGGTTGAATTGTTATGTCTACCTGCCATGTACAATTAGGGGCCGGGGTGTAAGAGCCATTATGTTTGTTAAAATGCTGTTTTTGACCACTGGGTGGAGTGTGAGTTTGGAGGAGTATGTAGGTAGACAAAGACTTAGAACAGCAGGTGTGTAATTCAGACATCCCAAGTCTCCCGGAAGTTGCGGGAGTATCCCTGAAATGCAAGACACTCCCGGATGCCCGCAAATAAATGATAATCTCCCAAAAATATTTGCTTGTATTTGCATAAAGACCCTATTATTGATGTATGTCAATCAGGATTTATGAAAGGGCGACACATTTACAGTAATATAAGACTTATTTTAGATTTGATTGATTACAATGAATTAATTTTTGGATAATAGTTTTATTTTATTTGTTGCATTTGATACAATTGATCATAGTTTTATGTTTAAGACTCTTATTTTTTGGCTTTGAAGATTATTTTATAAAGGCTTTATTTAAACTAAATTAAATTATCAAATGGAAAAACATCAAGATTTGAAATCAAGAGGAGCATACAGTACGTCAAGGTTGTCCTATATTTCATCCTTTCTTTTCTTACTGGTAACACAAACTACGGCCCTGCATATTAAAAGAGATAGATTTTGAGGTAATAGAATTTTAGAGACAGAACTAAAAGGTTCTCAGTTAGCTGACAACACTGACATTTTTCTAAATAATGAAATTAAAATTAAAACTGCTATTGATTGCCTCAATCTTTTTTCGTCTGCATCTGGTTTATGTTTAAATATTAAAAAATGTGTAGTGTTCTCTCTGAAAATATGCAATGATACTAATATATATGGTATTCCAGTAAAAAAAAAAAATTGTAAAGGTCAAAAAGAGAGAAGTAATCTGAATTTTACACCAATTATTAAGAAAACAAAACAAACATTAAACTTATGGTTAATGAGAGATTTGTCAATTAAAAGAAAAACATTATTAGCAAAAACAGAAGTTTCGTCACGTTTAGTATAAACTGTTAAAGTCAGAATTATTAGCCCCGCTGTTTATTTTTATTGTATAACTATGGTTTATTCTGTAAACTATTGAAAAATATAGCCTAAAGGGGCTAATAATTTTGACCTTAAAATGCTTTTTTTAATAAAACAAAATAATGATATTATATTGATGATACAGTTATTCAAAAGTAATAGACAACTTTTAATTATTGTGAATTTATTTCAATTACAAGATCCCCATAACTGCTAAAGAATTTGCAATAGTATTTGATGCTATTTCTAGTGGACTTGTTCAGCTCTTATTCTGTAATTTATTCACTGAATCAAATCTTTTACTTAGTAATCAGTTAAGTATCAATGGTGTGAAAATTATAGACAATAAATTGAATAACTGTTACATTAAAAGGTTTTGCAGAACTACATTGTTGCCTAAATGCAAATCTTTTTAAAATTCCTTATTTGAGCAAATTGAGTGGAAAAAAAGTTTAAAACTTACCTAGTAAATACAGTCTCACCAATAAAGTTAAAGAAGTGACATATAAACTAATACATCTAATTTATCCAATGAAACAAGTTGTTACAATTTTTTTTGAGACTTTTTTTAAATGCACATATACCCAAATGTTTTGGTTTGATGTTGAATATCTTGTGTCTAAACTTACAAAATTAAAAATTCAGTTTTCTTGTAAATATATTTTTTTGATATGCAATAATAATAACAAAACTTTGGAGCAAAATTTGTTTATTAATTTAATGATAATATATACAAAGTACCATGTACACAAACAAAAATGGTCCAATGATAGGCCTAATATTTATTTGTTTAAAAAAATTATTTTCAGCATTATATTGAAACCCTAAAAGTCATAAAAACATAAAAAAGCTTCAAGGATGTGTGCAATTATGGATTCATTTTCTTATGAAAATATTTTTGTGGTTTATATATACCTGTAATTTATTTTGTTTGTTTTTTTATTCTCTACTGCAGTGGTCTGCAAACTTGTTCCTGGAGGGCCGGTGTCCTGCAGATGTTAGCTCCAACCCTAATCAAACACACCTGAACAAGCTAATCAAGGTCTTACAAGGTACACTTGAAACATCCAGGCAGGTGTTTTGAGGCAAGTTGGAGCTAAACCCTGCAGGGACACCGGCACCCCAGGACCGAGATTGGTGACCCCTGCTCTACTGATTTGTTCCTTTGATGTAAAAAAATATAAGTATTGTATTCTTCATTTTTGTATGCTATTGTTCTTGTTATGCAATAAAAAAGGCTGAAAAACACTAGCTGTCTACACTAGCTGAAACACTTTTTCATTGGCTGAAAAACACTAGCTGTTCATAGCCTATTGGCCACATAATGGATGCAATTGTCTGGTGTTCAGCTCAAGCAATGTGAGCATCCTAACCATTAATTTATTCATAAAAATATAATGTTCAAACATCTGTCTGTGTAATAAGATGTAATTCTTCTAATACGTTATTTTTCAGTGGCACAATGTTTTTATTTTTTGTTCTGATCCTCTAGATAGAATAACCTTTAAAGGGATAGTTCACACATAAATTATAATTTACACTCTATTTACTCACCCTCAAGTGGTTTCAAACATTGACAAGTTTCTTTTTTCTATTGAACACTACAGACTATTTTGAAGAAAGCTGAAAACCTATAGGGTGGCACGGTGGCTCAGTGGTTAGCACTGTTGCCTCACAGCAAGAAGGTTGTTGGTTCGAGTCCCGGCTGAGCCAGTTGGCATTTCTGTGTGGTGTTTGCATGCTCTCCCTGTGTTCGCGTGGGTTTCCTCTGGGTACCAAGGACGTGTGCTATAGGTGAATTGGATGAACTAAATAGACCTTGGTGTATGTGAGTGTGTGAGAATGAGTGTGTATGGGTGTTTCTCAATACAGCGTTGCACCTGGAAGGGCATTCGCAGTGTAAAACATATACTGTAATAGTTGGCTCATTCTGCTATGGTGACCCCTGATAAATAAAAAAAACTAAGCCAAAGGAATGAATAAATAAAAACCTGTGCACATGGACTTCCATAGCAAAAAAAAAACATGGAATTAAGCGTTACAAGTTTCCTGCTTTCTTCAAAATATCCTCCTTTCTGCTCAACAGAAGAAGTCAAACAGGTCTGCAGCTAGAAAAGCGTAAATAGATTATGACAGGATTTTTGGTTTTGGGTATAAACGCTGCTTAAATACAGCAGAATTTTTAACTTAAACTGCTGTAGAGTGTAGTTTCAAGCCTAGTTAATCATATGAAACATGAAATTCAAGGTCACTTGATAACTAAAAAAAAATGACACACTCAAATCCATAGTGTTTTGAGATGAAATCAAATATTCAAGTAAGTATATATGAGAGAGAGTGTGCTCTGTGGACTTGGTGTGTGTTTTCGGAAGAGTTTGAAAAAATGGGCTCTATGCAATCATGGTCTTATAAAAGAAAACATTCAGAAATTGATTTAAAAATTGATGCCCAAAAAGTGCTTAGTGCTGGACAAAGCCAGAAAGTGTTAAAAAGAGTGGCTGGAGATTGTTGACACCCGTTACAAGTTAGATCAAAACCAGGCCGAGCTTCATAATTTAAACAAACATTTTGAAATATATTTTATTTAATTAAAATTGTTTCCTGAAAAACACACGTCCTCTAACCTATGAGGAAAACGAAAGGAAAATACTAGATTCAGTAGATTCACATTATTATGTTTTTAAATCCCATCCACACATCTTTAATCTAATTCATTTCTGACTTCATATCCTTATACATTAAATATACATATAAAAAGAAATAAAACTCTTCAAGTAGACTACTCCCACTGAGATCATGAAGTAATGTGGACTATCAGTTCTGTTCAGATACCATGATATTTGCCGCCCTCAAGTGGTTGAGAAAGAGAATTCAACCAATAAGAAAGTATTAGCGACGCAGCATTATACTGCAGAAGTACGGAATTAAATATTTATATAAGTGTTTGAACAAGTATTAAAACAAGTAGATTTACATTTATAATATGATTTAATATTTATTTTAGCTTTATTTTAGGCATTACTATAAGAATTGTCAGGTATTATGTATGCAATATGTAGTCCAGCAAATTTTAAAACAAAACAAATTGATCTCAAGGACATTTTATTTGATGTCATAATTAGAACGTCAAAGTGGAATGTTAAGGCTTGACGGTGTAATTTAGTTTTAGTGGGTAGTTTGGAGTGAGACAGTGCGTTTGTTTTATCATGGGTCAGCGAATTTCTTGTCTGAATATAGCGACAGAGTCGGAGTGTGTGTACAGTTTACATCCTAGTACACCACTTCAGTTAAATAATGACACGCCTTGTCAAGAAAACCATCAGCTTGATGAGAGCCGTGTCGTTCCTTGTGAGGAAGATGGAGTAGGGAGTTTGGTAAAGGAGAAAAAGAAAGAGAAGAAAAAATCGAGTTTTTGGAGAAAGCTGTTCCGCTTTTCACGCCCAAGAATTGGAAGGGGTGAAAAGGTGAAGCAGGTAGACAGTGAGAAGGTGAAGCCAGTCACCGAAGCAGAACCTTCTACTGATGGTAAATCCCTTTATTTTTTGTGTGACTGGAATTTTTTTTTTTTTATAAAAATGATCACTTTAAAAATGATAGCTTTAAAATATTGTCTCTGCAAATGTATTTGTAAAAGGATTGAAACGTTTCTGTGTGTTTTAATTAAAGTAAATGTTGAATGGATGTTCCCCTCTTTAGATCAAACCTCAGTAGGAAACATCTCAAGCCCTGTTGAGCATCATGACTACCAGCAAGCTCCTAACAACCTTAAGGTTCCTTCCTCCATCATTGACCTGCAAATACAGGAACAGTGTGAGAATGTGGAGCTGGAGGAAGAAACGTCTACTGATGGTAAATCTCTTCATCTTTTGTGTTTACTGAACTTAATCATTAAAGAAGATCATCATAGCTTTAAACATTTGCAGAGTTCAAATGTTCAGATGTGCAGATGTTTGTGTATCTGAACTCTTCAGTTTTGTCTTTGTAAATACTATAAATGTATTATTTGTAGCAGTATTGAAATGTTTGTGTGTTCATATATAATTGTTATATTTTCCTCTTTAGATCCAACTTCAGTGGAGACCATATCTTCTGTAGAGAGTTATGGTCCTCAGAACACTCCCAACAGTAGTTTTGAGATTCCTCTCTTCACTGTTGACGAGCAAATCCAGGAGTTTCCAGATGATCTGTCAGAGGAAGAAACTGTGTGTCCTCTGGCAGAAAACCCAAGCCAAGACATGGTCTTGATTATTGGGAGTAAGTTCATATTAATTATGGCTGCTTGATGCTTTCACTTTTTGAAAGGATTAGATGTTTCTGCATTATGTATTAGTGACGTAATGGTGTATAAAGTGGTAATAACGTTTTACTTTTGCATTGTAGAATATGAATCTGTCTCTAAAACTAATTATGTTTGAACAGGCATGTGCTGGACCTACAACATGGGTGAGCTACTGGGAGAAGGAGGATTTGGTGCTGTATATGCTGGTGTCCGTGCCCATGATGGTCTTCCGGTAAATTTATATATATTTTTGCATGATCAACCTAACAAACTATATTTATGTGTTATGCTTTGTCTTTTTTAACACAATTAGAGTGCTTGATAAATGGTCAACTTGACCAAACATGCTACAAATTCATGACTAGAATTTCAACAAGGATTAAAGAATGGTCTGATGTAATCCAGTGCTAACTGTAAAATTCTGTTTTGTTGATCAGGTGGCAATCAAGTTTGCCAGAAAAATGGAGGGCATGGAATATCTCTACGTTGTAAGTAGACTCATCTCCTCTAACTCTGTTTTTTTTTTTCAACAGTGTTAATCATAGACAGCAAACTATCTCTCAATAAACAAATTATAAACATGTTGTGCAAACCACCTTAATTTAACCATCCTAAAAACTCTTTCCACTAGCCTGGCCTTCCAGAACTTGTACCACTTGAAATCGGCCTCACACTTATGGCAAACAAGGGTCCCAGCTCACCCAACATAATCGATCTGCTGGATTGGCAGGACTTTCCAGATCATTATATAATGGTCCTGCAGCGCCCTTCACCATGCCTGAGTGTGTTCAAGCTGTTGGAGAGCTGTGGCAACATCTTTGAAGAAAGGTTTGCTCGGTATGTGATGCGCCAGGTTATCGAGGCAGCTGAGACCTGCTGCCGGCGCGGAGTATTCCACAGAGATATCAAGTTGGAGAACTTGATAGTCAACACACACACCATGGATGTCACCCTGATTGACTTTGGCTGTGGGAACCTGTTCCACGAAACAGAGTACCACACTTTTAGTGGTATGTACAGTATTAAAACTTTAGTGTCATGACACACAAGCTGCTGAATACAGTAAAAACAAACTGTTGTAACTCAGACATGCAAATCTCTTTCCTCCAGGCACAGAGATGTACTGCCCTCCGGAATTTTTCGAAACGGGCAAATACTTAGCACGGCCAGCAACTGTGTATTCGCTTGGAGTGCTGCTATACACTATGGTGTGCGGTTATATGCCAGACTACACGGATCGAGAAAAGATGCAGCACTGGCTGTGGTATCTGCCGTCCTTGTCTTGTGGTAAGAACTTGAAAAAATTGTAACAATCATACAAAAAAGTGTCTGACAAAGCCACTTGGCTCAGCTGTCCAAAATGCCATCAGGAGAAGTGTAATGTAAAGGATGTTTAAAGTAATAGTCAAACATTAATCCTGTCTTTCAGAATGCAGTCATCTCATAAATGCCTGTCTGCATCCCGATCCCAGCGAGAGGATACAACTGGAGCAGATCCTCCTCCACGACTGGTTTACGGTACCTATGATCTATAAAACTTTTCAAAATGTCAGTTTTTTTGGGGACAATAAACCTGATTTTGTTTTTGTTTTTGCTTTAGATCACAGCATCAGACATGGAGGATGAGCGCCCGGTCCTGATCATGCAGGAAGAGCTGATTAGCCAGGCATGCTAACACCAGTGGCCTCACCACCTCTCCAGTCCTTTACTTATTGCTAATGTCTGGTGTCAGAGCTTGAGGCAGCAATACTTGCGTCTTGCGGTGTTGCTGCCAAAAATGTATTGTTGAATTGAAATAAAATTGTGTCAATTGAACTGTTGTGTTTGTCATGTTTTTGTCCCATTTTTTTGCTGAATTAGAATTGGAGTTTGCATTAAGCCTAGTAAGACCATGATTAATAACAAGTACAGGTGTAGGAGCCATACGTTGTATTTTGGCTATTGGCCACAAGGTATCAGTAGAAGACTTTATAACTGTGGCTTCACTGCATGGAGTGGGACAGTGTTGGTAGGAAGCACACAGTTTTTGACCGTCTCGTCTCGTAACTGAGCGTAACGTAACTCAAGGTAACAGAGAAGTGTGCATAAGGAAAGTGATTAAGTAATTCTGTTGATTGGAAGTTGATTGGAAAATAAAGACGTTTTTTATTTGCATCTATTTTGCCTACAGACTCTGACTTTACGTGTACAAAACTTGCTTGCTCTACCAACAACACCTGTCATGTACTATAATTGCATCTGTGTCTTTAAGACAGGAAACAGGTGGCATGATGGGACGTTTTGTAATGTTACGGAGTTTATACACACAAGAGAAGTAAAGAGTGGTGGTAAAATCTTAACCGGCGTGTGGCTGATTTAATTCAGAAGTATGTGTGACCTTTAAATGAATATTTGATGATAAGAAGCACATACATAACATTGGCGACAAGGATGCAGCCGGGATATGGTGAGCACACATGTGATGGAAAAGTCAGGTATTTCTGTATTTGAGTGCTACAAAGATCCCGCGACTTTTGGGCCAAGATGGACAAGATGGCTAACATCATTTGAACTTTATGCAGATGGAAAAGGACTTATTATAGAAGAAGGTGTCAACGACGCAGAGCACTTCTTTTGCATCATGCGGGACCTGATGTCCAAGATATTTTCTCCACACTGCCAAATACGGGACATGGTGATAACTTTAATGCGGCAGTTGCAGCCTTAAATGCATACTTTGTGCCACGAGTAAATACTGCATACGCACGGCAGTCCTTTTATAAACTTTCTCAAAACTCCAGCGAGACTGTTCAGCAGTTTACAACACGTCTTAGACAAGCGGCGAGAGACTGTGCATTTGCAGATGACCTGAATAATCAGCTTCGAGATGCCGTCGTAGACAGAGGCTCATCAACATATGTGCGGCGTAAATTGTTGGAGGGAGGACCGAATCTCAGTCTTGATCGCGCGTTGGAAGTTGCCGATCTCTGTGAACGAATTGAGGAACAGATGTCTGCGTCATCAGTGAGTGATGCATCAAAATCTGATAATGCTACAGAAACTGTGAATCGAGTCTGGAAAAAAGGAGGAAATATACAAAGGGAAAACACCAAGCAGAAAGCAGTAAGTTGAATAAACAGTGTTATAGATGTGGAAACACAGATCTTTTTGGAAAAGGTTTAAAATGTCCTGCTCGAGGTCAAATATGCCATAAGTGCAAAGGACGAGATCATTTTTCAAAAATGTGCAAAACCAAAACTGTAAAACAGAGAGTTAATCAAGTGGAGGGACAGACTGAATATGCATTTGTCATTCAAAATGATGGCAAGGATACAGATAGACTGAATGTCTGCTTGGGAAATGTTCATCTGAGGATGCTGGTAGACTCAGGTGCTTCCAGCAATATTATAGATGAGAAAACATGGGAGTAACTGAAATCAGAGAATTAAATGTCATTCGTACATCCTAGATACAAAGAAAAATTTGTTCTCTTACTCATCTGATCAGCCTTTGCCGGTAAAGGGAGCATTTAAATGTGATGTAACAATAGGCAGTCGGATGGTACATGCTGAGTTTATTGTTATAGAAGGGACTGGTGAACCTCTGCTAGGAAGACATACAGCCATGGAGCTTGGAGTACTCAAAATTGGGACAGATATTGCAGCGGTAACATACCTTAAACAATCACTCCAGTCCCAATACCCAGAAGTGTTTCAGGGAGTTGGTAAGCTGAAAACTAAGCAAATCTGTCTGTACATTGATCAAACAGTCCAGCCAGTAGCCCAACCCTTAAGAAGAATACCATTTAATCTGAGAGGTCCTGTGGAGGATAAAATAAAAGAACTCTTAGAGATGGACATTATAGAAGAAGTAAATGGACCCACTCCATGGGTTAATCCTGTTGTAACTGTGCCAAAAGCTAATTCTGAAATCAGACTTTGTCTTGACATGGGGCAGGCCAATCGAGCAATCATCAGAGAATGATACCCTATTCCTACAGTAGATGAACTTCTACAAAGTATGAATGGATCAATGGTTTTCAGCAAATTGGATCTGAAATGGGGTTACCATCAGTTAGAGCTGACACCAAAATCTCGCCAGATCACAACTTTTGCAGTTTATAATGGAGTGTACAGATATAAGCGTCTCATTTTTGGAGTATCATCTGCAAGTGAGCAATATCAACATGAGATAGCTGCTGCACTTACTGGAATAGAGGGAGTTGAAAACATCTCTGATGATATAATTGTGCATGCTCCGGACCTAAAAACAAAGCCAACGCCTACATTTAATTCAATTCAATTCAGCTTTATTTGTATAGCGCTTTTACAATGTAGATTGTGTCAAAGCAGCTTCACATAAATGGTCATAGTAACTGGAACAGTGTGGTTCAGGTTTTAGTGATTAAGTTCAGTTCAGTTCAGTTTAGCTCTGTTCAGTGTGATTTAATCATTACTGAGAGTTCAAACACTGAAGAGCAAATTCATCGATGCGTAGCTCTACCAATCCTGAACCATGCGAGGCAGTGGCGACAGCGGAGAGGGAAAAAAAAACTTCACCTGATGGGAGTGAAGAAAAAAAACCTTGAGAGAACCAGACTCAGTTGGGCACGACCATTTTAATTTCTCCGCTGGCCAAAAGTCTTGTGCAGAACTTCATTCGCCGTGGTTTATGCTGGAAGATGGCCTCAATGAAGACTCGTCTGTCCCTGGAGCGTCGCTGGAATCAGACTCATGTTCTCCACTCCCCACGACCATCAGCGCAGCAGCAGCTCAGGATATGGCCTGGTCCCGGATATGGAATCCTTGGGATCATCACGTCGCTGGTCTTGGATCCAATCAGTGACTCCGCATAATCTGAGGACCTCGGGAAGAGTATCCCCAGGTGAAAATAGAGAATAAAGAGAATAATTAGCGTAGCTGCTGTTCATAGTGTATATAAGCAAGATGTAGAAGCCAGTGTGGAACCCGCTAGGTGATGCATTGAGTGTATGCTTTACTAAACAGATAGGTCTTTAATCTAGTTTTGAACTGGGAGAGTGTGTCTGAGCCTCGGACATTACCAGGAAGGCTATTCCAGAGTGTAGGAGCCATGAAAGAGAAGGCTCGACCTCCTTTACTTGATTTTGCTATTCTAGGTACTACCAGAAGCCCTGAATTTTGAGATCTTAAAGAGCGAGTTGGTTCGTAGCGAGACAGAAGGTTGGTTAGATAAACAGGAGCTAGATTATTTAGAGCTTTATAGGTGAGAAGTAATATTTTAAATTCAATACGAAACTTAACAGGCAGCCAGTGTAAGGAGGATAAAATTGGGGTTATATGATCA